ACGCCATATTTTGAGACGATATTTACAATCCAGGTATTCTAAACCACTTTTATGTCAGTATCAACATTTCAATTTTACAGCCATATTCCACATTTTTGTTATAACGTTCTAATCTACCTACATTTTTACAGCATTTTTTTCTCATTTCTACATTTTAGATATATTGACAAAATTTTATCGAAAAATTTTTGTATTTGATACCCTTTTTTTGCTCTTGGACAGGTTTTGATTTTATACCAGTACGGTGTTTGCTATCTGTTCGTGGACAATTGCATGTGCGTCATCAATTTGCACGTCGCTACTCAATTTCGTATATTACAGTACAGACTTAAGAACATGTATACAGTGAGCACAAAGAAGAAACAGGGTAATACATCGGAGACGACATCCTCAATTTACGCAGATAAATGTTACGCGACATTTAAACGCTATATCAAGCAACATCAAGCGCTCATTGCGTATTGTAATAAAATGGAGAATGTGTTCACCAGGATCGTACTCGGACAAGTGTTACTCTTCAGCTTGTTAATATGTCTCGACGGATTTTTGGTACTTCTGGTTAGTCCACATAAGCGAATCCAATTATATCACTAAAATAACTACGTACATAGAAAATTAATTAAAATTATGGTAAAAGTTACGTTTGGGGGATGCAGCTCCGATGACCCTGACCTTGGCATATGTTGTTAAGATCATTATTCTGCGTTATCCCGAAAAAGTTTCAGCCTTCGCTCGTTTTTTATTAAAAAGTTATTAGCAAAAATGTTTAGTATCGTATTTTGGTAGTATTGATAAGTATAATAACAGGTGACCTTGACATATATTGCCAAGGTCATGCTCCTGAGTGACATTCTGAAAGTTTCAGTTATATGTATATTAAAATGTTTTTAAGGTAACAATGAGACCTTTTTCTTGAACTGTCTCTAACCAACTCTGAATGACTTTTTTTCTTGAACTAGCTTTAACCAAATCTGAATGACTTTTTTTTCTTAAACTAGTGTCTAACCAACTCTAAAGTATTATACTTACTGGAGTCGATTAGAGAAACTAGTTCCAATAACTTGTATATATTGCAAATTTATCTGCTAATAACTTACTCACAACAGTATCCTTAACAGCATATGTCAAGGTCAAAGTCATCAGAGCTGCATCCCCTATACGTAACTCTTACCAAAGCTATACTTCACTAATTCCTGAATTAAACAAAGTTAATTAAGAAATTATATAAATCACTAGTATTTATTTTTAATGAATAAAATGCCGAAATGCATTATACTTCGTAGGATGAGGCGCCACGGACAAGACGCCTAATTTTCGCATTTCACATATCGGGTTGCCTCGTTCAATTGCTAATGTTCACCTACAGCTGCGACTGCTTGATGCAAGAAAGCACGAAAATAGCTTCAGCTATGTATTCGGCGCCATGGACACATTTACCAATGAATAAAAGCGGAAGAATGCTACGAAACGATATGCGACTCATGATCCTGAGGGCCAGGAATCCTTGCTGCCTAACGGCAAGTGGATTTTTGGTTGTGTCGTTAGAAACATATACCAAGGTAAGTAATGTTAACAACAGAAACATAAATCTTCGAGTTTGTGAACAGTTAATCGTATTTCCTCTTGAACCCCTCCAACTCGACAGTGTTAACTGAAGGAAGAGTTCATTATCTGGATAAAGATTTCTAAACAACAAAAAGAGACTAACAAACTAGCTGCCTCTACTTCATTTAATGAGCACGAGAATTTTAGTATTGATAGTCAAATATTTTCCTTTGAAAGAGTGGACACTTATCCCAACATCGTTACAATTAAATTAATTTTTACCCCTCGAATGTTCAAGAAAATAATGTTACGAGCCAGGGCTAAGCGGCTGCGAGAGCCGAGGAAATGGCGAGTTTGGTTTTTTAGAGTTTGTTACGTGGACGAACCTGTGCCTATTTCATCACAGGGAGCCACTGGGATAGGTCGTCGTGAACGAACCCGAGCCTATTTCATCTCAGGGAGCCACTAGGATGGTTTAGACGTCGTGGACGAACCTGTGCCTATTTCATCACAGGGAGCCACTAGGAGGTTGGTAGTATGGACTAGGATTGTTAGTATGCCTTTGTGGGTTCGCTTCTAGCTGGGAATTTAGATATTATTCTAGAGTTGAAATGAACAACACTGAATTATAAATATATGAACGTATAAAAGTATATTCAATAAAATAAAGGTTTTACACATGATACTGTAAAGTGTAGTCGCGGAAGTTAATTCCAACGTTCGCGGTTTTCACGCACTGAGAAATGCGGGGTTGTGTCGTACAGAGTTTAAGCTTACTTTTGAAAATGCTTGAAAGGGACTTTAATACCCGATCTCACTAGCTAGAGTTCTAGTATGATTATGAACCACCGATGAGCTGTACGCGTCCCTTTTTATATCCCGAAAATCGAGTCTAAAAGTAGTGGGGGACACGCCTGTTCTCTACGGAAAACTGTTTTCCAAGAAAATCTGGCCACGGCATAACACCCCGCGGGCAATTACGTAATACGGCAGGATGCATTCCATCTCCCGATAGGGTTAAGAGGTCACGAGAGTGTCTTCGTACGTAACAATGATATCAAATAGAATTCTTGCTTTAATCTCATAAAAAACTAGCAGACTTATAATTAGAAAAAGAAGTGCAAGTTATTTGTAACTAGACGTAATACATAGTACGGTTGCTTCCTAATTTTGTATTCTTAGGACTGTCCATATTTTCTTCAGAATAAATGTTGATACTGAACGGCAATCAGGTCGGAGGGGTTAAAAATTGTTAATGTAATATATAATAAAACTGTCAATTGTTTGTTACCATCACAGGTTTTAAGTACCGCGGTGTCATACTTCACGCTACTAAGGCAATATTGAAACCCCTCTGTCAATGGACAAAACAATTTCTATTCCAGTGAAAATGTCAACGATTACCTTTATGTCGTGTAAATGTTACAAATCAGACGCTTGTACATCTTATCTACGTATAATGCTATTGGTATTGAGTATTAATTGACATCTCCCGACAGCGTATAACTACGATCTGATTAACGATGTTAAATATTAGAAGGTAAATCTACTAAGATCTCGTATATGCACTTACAACTAGAACAAATAATTTGTAATATTCCAGACTGCTTCCATGGACTACAATTTTCCAAAACTTACTGTTGACAATGGGTATGCATTTGTATTTGTCTAAGCACATTTAACAGTTTTCTGTAAAATACCTATCTATTTTCTTTCCTTATTGTTTAATAAATAGTCTTCGTATAACACGGTCAAATCTTAACATTATCACGTTATATGCAAACCTTGTTGAAAATTAGTGACAACTGGTTTTATTACTTAATGTGTCTATTTTTGCATATTTTGTTGCCCTAGCAAGGTGATGTACGATATTACGGTAGTCAGTATCTGTAACAAATGAGTAAGTCACAAAAAGTGAAATAGTAATATTTATTTTAGCGATATAAAGTATTACATTAAAAACCAAATAAGACCATAACTGTTTCGCGCAGCTGGAATGAGCACCAGAGGTCTCTGTAACATGGGCGATAGAATTTGTCATACACCGGGTGACATAGTGAAGTACTTCCCAAGGCATGAATACTTATGAATTGGCACGTTTGTACTTCACAGTCACTCGATGTATGATGCTACACGAGGCATAATGATGCTCAATTGTTTAAGACGTTGGTAACTAAGGTAACCGAGAGGAATATGCGCAAACAAGACCGAAATTAGTCATTTCGCAGTTATGGTCTTATTTGGTTTTGAATGTAGATTACCTTTAATAGACATTATCTTCGTGGTACTTGCAGTGATAAACTATTCTAAACAGTAGTGTACTATCAATTATAATTGAAGATCCATATTTCTACGAAATTTTTACAAATTCCGAGACCCAACCGACCGCCCTTCATGTTACTATAACAATATTTAACACTACTCTCGTGTACGTCACTAAACAGCTAAGAAAAAGATAAGGATTCGTTTTCCCTTGTCTAATATACTGCGTGGCATACCTATAAACCTACCCTAAAATTTCCCATCCTTATATATTGTAGTTAAAATAGAAACGAATCACTTTTTTCTATCGAATACAATCTATTCTTTTCTGGAGGAACATTATTACTCTACTATGATGACAGTAATGACAGTGGTTACCACCGCACCATGCCTCGCAATACTTGCTTCAGTCCTCTTGTTCTGATTTGTACCACGGTGTCGCCACAATAGTAGCGCCACCAGTGTCCTGTCCTCGGTCGAGGAACTAAACCGTAAAAACCCGAAAATTCAGCGAAAGTTTTCGACCCTTGCTCTACTACTCGTTTTTATTTTAATCACAATATATAAGAATTGACAATTTTAGGGTGATTTTATGTTTATGTCATGCAGTGTATAATCTCTCTCTAGTGAATACATACCACGCACATATTCAGAATTAATCCCTCCTATTCTCGTATCGACTGTTCGCTCTTCAGTTAATAACATGGATCAAACGTCACGGTAATAGAATCTATTCCACTCATTGTGGGGTGGTTGTTCAGTCACGAAGCGAGAAAAACTTTCGTGATACACGTATATTTGAATTAGTATTTTAAATTTCTCTTGCATCGTGGGACGCAGCTGTTTGCGAAGATCGGTGTTCACAGAGGGTTGCAAAGGTGGCCGCACGAGGATCATGCATAACTCATCAATCCCTACGCTTTGCTCCTTGAACAAGGTAAAAGGTAATTGCATCGACACGTGTATCGTAATACGTCGCATTCTTCTCGTTCCGTCGAATAACTATGTGCAACGTAGCAATAAGAACGAATACAAAGTGTAGAGCCCGGTGAATAGAGAATGTCGGTAGATCGAAGCGATCACAAAAAGGTTCACTCAATTCGACCCCCGATACATAGTGATGATCGATGCTCGGGAGTCGACGTACGAGGCCGATATCAAGCGACAGTCCACGTTGTTCCGGGAAAATCAAAATGTTCGCGACGCAGAGTGACGACACCTCAATCGCTATAACGGTCTTCTTCATGAAGTTAGCCGGTTATTGGACAGCCGTCGGACGCGCGGAAAAATGCTGCAGGTTCTGCGCATTGGTTTACACCATTGCTTCCCTCATATGGGGCATCTACGTTCACACGTTCGATTTTTATTACACGAGGAATGATTTTGACGTAAGTGTGCACTGTGAATTTTACGGATTTCTGCTTGAACACATTGCATGGCTATGGAGACGTTCAGTGATTTGCAAATGGCGGCGCGCAGGGGTCTTCGGTGGGTAAACCGTTTACTGTAATAACATAATATGAACTAACATAATATGACCCTTAACTAATAAGGGAGCGTTTTGTACTGTTACCGGCGGTTGAAACGGTTCCGAAAATAACTGTTTAAAACTGTTGTATACCGGTTTTTCCTGAAATAGTTTTGAAGAAACTTTATTCTGAATAATTGTTATAAGGAACCGAAAATTTTGTCTGTATCAGTTCCGGTTACTGGAAGGAGCTTTTCTATTTTTCTCGAATTAAACCATCTCTGGGAAAAAATAAACGCCTGAATGGATGAATAACATCTATATAGAATGTTCATGTACCAAATAGTAAGAATATGTTTCCTGTTTCCCTGAATATGTATTATAAAAGTAGTAGAAATATAATATATATTTATACATAAAGGTTTTCATTATTATATAATGTAATCATATTATTCAGAAAATGTTAAGAGATTATAGGGTCATATATGACAGACACGTACGCATTTATCACTTGCTCTTGCGTACGTAAGCGTGTACGCCACCCATCGTGTTAGAAATCTCCATGTCCAAAGACTAGTCGCGATTTAACTTACTACAATGATATACAGAATATACATTCGATTTTACCAGATATACCTACTTATGATTCTTTGAATCATTCATATTACCACTCCTGTCCTGCAGTGCCTGAAGGCACGAATCCGACCTCCCCCTGATATCGGTATACAGAGTGTCCGAAAAATGTCCTCCGACCCGAAAATCGAACAACTTTTTCCTTGGCAACAATGTAATCTGAGGCTTCGTTACCGAGATATTAACGAAAAACCGCGACCAATCAGAGCGCGAGTTTGCCAGCAGAGTTCCCGCGCTAACGGTGGCTACGCGCTACGCTTGTACTACGAAGCTCCAAACAGGTAGGTCAGCATGCATCGCAGGAAACTGCGTATAATAGCAAATAAAAAAGACGTAACAAATAAAATTATACTTTTTATCATCTGCTGTTCGTTATTTAAAGAGATTAATGAATGAAACGTAAATGTTCTCAAATTCTGTGTAAAGTAAAAAAACGAATGCACATTTACTTTTCTGTGAATTCCTTTTTACGAATTTGTAAATTTCCTTTTTAAATAACGTGTGAACAAAAAGGAAATGTAACAGAGAATGAACGAGAAGTGATCGTAATTCGGTATTGGTATAAAAATTCGTAGTTTAATAACGGTCAACAATGCTACTGATAATGAATAAGTTTCTTCAAAAAACCCGAAGAAAAAGTTAGGTACAGAAACTTCCAGAATTATCACCGGAAATAAGCCATAGCTTGCGTTAAATTAAGAAAATAATAATCAGCAATAAATTGATTAGAACTCACCCTTTCGGAAATTCACCTGCAGTTTGCAAACCTGTGTCACTAGGTCACTGAACCGATCTTGGTCATGGCAGGGTATCGCCCAGTTCGCAGGTGATCGCAGGTATACCTCACCAACCGAAGTTAAGGGTTGTAACGTCAAGTGCGTCGTGGTTATTCCACCGAGTACGTACTCACTTCACTGCACGACCACTAACACTGATCACCCGACACAATCACTTAATGTATTTTTAACCCAACGTGTTGTTCCTACGTTAGGAAAATTCGTGGCCCCGGAAAGGGCCGATTGTTTTCAATTTTTCAGATGTTTTACGTAACCAAACACTTGCACAGCAACACCCACAAATCCGTTATTCTGTACGAACCACCCTAACATTGCGTAATACTCCCGTGAACTGAACATCTCTGTCGCCCGATTGCTAACCGACTGACAGAAGTTTTACGAAAGGGCTTCCTCTACCCCCAAGTATTGTAGTTTCCCATCGTTACATTGTGAATTCACTCCCACCACGACAAGATTTAGGTAAAAAGAAACCAACGGTTCTAGGATAACACGTGCTTTGTAACACGTAGCCCGTTAATTTATTGCCAGGGTACCTACTGCTTCGAGATAGGAAACAGATATCACATGCATCGGCTTGAGAATGTCCGAAATAAAGAGAACCACCAACGTGCCCGTTGCTTCGAGTTGGAAAGGACAATGTACATTGTTTTCCTCGAAGAGCAGGGAACAAATTTTACCGACACGTGTAAGTTGACGCTGCTTGGCCCTGGCCGACCACCCTTGCAGAGGCTGGAGCGGAATTTTCGGTTATTTTTGACTCAAAATCTTCGGCCTCGTAGCAACCGTGAACTCACAACAGAATTGACAATCGACAATTTTATTACAATTCTGTGAAATTGTAGTTCTCATGAAAACTTTTCATACGTATTTTTTTTAGTATTCCGTCAAATATCTCGGAAATTATTAGAAATATAAAAACCGTATTCGTTAAATTCTTTTCCGTAAAATAAGCCTATCGGTAGGGTGATGCGGTTCATATTAACGTAATAATAACCCACTGGAGACAGCGGTGCGCCCCGGTTCAGGTAAAAGAACCGGGCGCTCCACTATTACAGACGACTGACGGTATCGTTAACGCTCCAGACTATTTCAATGAGGTTAAAAGCTATATCAAAGTGTCAATGATTTACGGAAAAGAGTTCAACGAATACGGTAGTATTTTTTTTTGGATTTACCTGTACCGCGCACTGTCAGGAGTCGGCGAAAGATTGTTTAAAGGAAGGGATTATTCTGGAATTCAATGATATAGCTACATTCAATATCAAAACAAATTCAATATTGCAAATTATATGGTTTATATATTTCTAATAATTTCCGAGATATTTGACGGAATACTAAAACAAATACGTATGAAATGTTTTCATGAGAACTACAATTTCACAGAGTTGTAATAAAATTGTCGATTGTCAATTCTGTTGTGAGTTCACGGTTGCTACGAGGCCGAAGATTTTGAGTCATAAATAACCGAAAATTCCGCTCCAGCCTATGCAAGGGTGGTCGGCCAGGGCCAAGCAGCGTCAACTTACACGTGTCGGTAAAATTTGTTCCCTGCTCTTCGAGGAAAACAATGTACATTGTCTTTTCCAACTCGAAGCAACGGGCACGTTGGTGGTTCTCTTTATTTCGGACATTCTTAAGCCGATGCATGTGATGTCTGTTTCCTATCTCGAAGCAGTAGGTACCCTGGCAATAAATTAACAACGGTACTTTCCTTGCACTTCTGCAAAGCACGTGTTATCCTAGAACCGTTGGTTTCTTTTTACCTAAATCTTGTCGTGGTGGGAGTGTACTCACAATGTAACGATGGGAAACTACAATACTTGGGGGTAGAGGAAGCCCTTTCGTAAAAATTCTGTCGGTCGGTTAGCAATCGGGCGACGGAGATGTTCAGTTCACGGGAGTATTGCGCAATGTTATGGTGGTACGTACAGAATAACGGATTTGTGAGTGTTGCTTTGCAAGTGTTTGGTTACGTAAAACATCTGAAAAATTGAAAACAATCGGCCATTTCCGGGGCCACGAATTTTCCTAACGTAGGTACAACACGTTGGATTAAAAATACATTATGTGATTGTGACGGATGATCAGTGTTAGTGGTCGTGCAGTGAAGTGAGTACGTATTTGGTGGAATAACCAGGACGCACTTGACGTTACAACCCTTGACTTCGGCTGGTGAGGTATATGTGCGATCACCTGCGAACTGGGCGATACCCTGCCATAAACCGTTTCGGCCGTCGATGACCAGAATCGGTTCAGTGACCTAGTGACACAGGTTTGCAAACTGCAGGTGAATTTCCGAAAGGGTGAGTTCTAATCAATTTATTGCTGATTATTATTTTCTTAATTTAACGCAAGCTATGGCTTATTTCCGGCGATAATTCTGCAAGTTTCTGTACCTAACTTTTTCTTCGGGCTTTTTGAAAAAACTTATTCATTATCAGTAACATTGTTGACAGTTATTAAACTACGAATTTTTATACCAATACCAAATTACGATCACTTCTCGTGTATTCTCTGTTACATTACCTCTTCGTTCACACGTTATTTGAAAAGGAAATTTACAAATTCGTACAAAGGAATTTACAAAAATGTAAATGTGCATTCGTCTTTTTACGTTACACATAGTTTGTCTACATTTACGTTTCATTCATTAATCTCTTTATATAACAAACGACAAATAATAAAAAGTATGATTTTATTTGTTACGTCTTGTTTATTTGCTATTATTATACGCGGTTTCCTGCGTTGCATGGTACCTACTTGTTCGGAGCATCGTAGTACAAGCGTAGCGCGTAGCCACCGCTAGCGCGGGAACTCGGCTGGCAAACTCGCGCTCTGATTGGTCGCGGTTTTTCGTTAATATCTCGTAAACGAAGCCTCAGTCTAAATTTTTGCTAAGGAAAAAGTTGTTCCAATTCACCCCCCGAGTGCCACATTTCCGGGTCGGAGGACATTTTTGGGACACCCTGTATACAAAAATAAATAGTAATTCCTTAGTAATGTAATAATTACAAAGATTGACTCGTCCAAAGAAAAATTTCAATTACATCGGTATATGTAACGATGTACCTATATTTTAATATTCACAGGCTTCCCTATACGCGATATGCAACCTTCTAAGCGTGCTCATGTGTGTGTTGAAACTATTCGTCATGCTCAGTCACAAAAAGGACTTTTTTCGTTTATTTCTGTGCTTGGAACGAAAGTTCTTAAACTCAAATTACGATTCCTACGAGACAATGGTGATGGGCACTTGTAAACGTTCCTGCACGGCCTTCATTGGCTTCTTGACGTTCGTGACCCTCGCGACAATTTGCAGTTACACCGTCAGCCCGCTAATCAGTAAGTGGACCAATTGAATCGAAAAACCTGCAATTTACGAAAAATTAGGTGTACGTAATAAGTAGATCGCAGAAGTTTATGAAAATTCACAATTTTCTGATACTAATGTCTAAAGAATAAAATGTGACAGAATTTTATATTCAGTACAGGAGGCTTTATTATAACTTATACATTATAACTTTAATGATACCATGTAAATAGTATTAAACTACATGGAAACCTTTATTTTATTGCATTTTGCAAGTTACGAATCGCTATGACGAAGTGTTATGAATACCACAGCTGAAATGTATCTAAGTAGTCGTATTATCGGTGAAGCGTGTATTAAATTTTAGATCTGGTGACACTGTAGAAAATCATCTTGCGCATTTTTCGTTGTAGCAAATATTGGAAGAAATGAATCAGACAGGGTACTTCCGTTTAACCTCTGGGTAGGTGTGCCGATAAGTATGACACCATACTACGAAATAGCGTATGTTATACAGGTATTGTCTCTTTGTTTCCGTTACACAACACGCTTAAGAATTTCGTTGTTGCAATTATTGTGTCGTTTTAGATATTCCAAAAGGTACTTCTTCGCACGTATATTAACATAATACGCACTGAAAATATAGATACTAGAGAGGGAATATAATAAAATTTCGTTTTTCTTTGTTTTTTACGTTACAGTTATAACTGGCCTACGAATATTCTGCAAACAGACGACCCTATAAAACAAAGTACAATACTTTAATCCAGTAAATTTTAACGAGCTTCTTACTGTACCGTAAGTTAGGGTAATTTTGACTTAGTCAGGGTAACTTCATCCCAAAGCCGGAACATGGTCTTTTTCGATTTTGCAACCCTGCAGATTATTAAATTAAGTTGAGTTTTACTTAAAACGGTATTTCACGTAAAAATACCTGCAAAAGAACTGCAAAATCGAGAATGATCATTTTCTGATTTTGGAACAAATTTACTCCTGACTGAGTGAAAGTTATCCCAATTTACGGTACCGAGAAATTGATAGAACCCCCGAAATCGGATGTCCAACTTTCAATTTGATGCCAATTTCTGTACATCAGACCTCACCGAATCTGTGTTTACATAAACATCCGTGGTCCAGCTATCACCGAAATAATCGAATTCTATACCTTACATTGCTACAGATTTTGACTGCGTATCCAACCGGCGTGTGTTACTTTTGTTTCGATAACTTTCTGTGCATCATGAATATGCACGTGGCTACTCAATTTCGTATACTACAGTACAGACTAGCGAACATGAAGACCTCAAACGTGGAAGAGTATCCCCGTGGGGAGTTCCGCTCGTGCATATCGTGCTCCGCAGAGATGTATTACGACAAGTTTAAAGGTTATGTTCAACAGCATCAGAATCTAATCGCGTATTGTGACAAGCTCGAGGAAGTGTTCAATCTGATTGCGTTAGGGCAAGTGCTCCTTTTTAGTATGTTAATTTGCCTTGATGGATATCAGATACTCATGGTTAGTATTAGGCAGATATGGGCAAATTCATTATCTAAACTCCGTTCCATGTAAGAATAACCTCGTTTCGCGCATGGAACGGGATCTAAGACCGTTCATTGATAGAAGATCGGCAGAGATAGCGAGCTACAAGCAATCGCATGTGTTCGAATCGGTCGGCAATAGTGGGGGCTGCGAGATCGGTCGAAAACTCGTCCCAGCGTGAGGTTATTCTTACCTGGAACGGAGATTAGATCAGGTCTGACCAAGTAGTGGCCGGCGCCCCTATCGGCTAGCTCTTTTTGGTGTAGGGCAGGCCTGTCCAACATGTGGCCCGCGAGTCATTTCACCAGACGACGCGGTCCCCACCATCATTCAGTCCATTCCCCACTACTCGCTTACGCTGTGATGCGATCGTAGGGCAAGAGGTACGTGCGGGTAGGAATTTCTGGAGCGTCGGAAGTGGGGACAGTCAGAGCATGTACACACGCTTTCTTGCCTCTATATCGTCGGGCTTCTTGTGGATATGGAGGGGGGTCATTCCCCTCGGCTGAAAGAGCAAGCCGGTAGGGGCGATTATCGATTTTAGCCCTCGGGCCACAAGTTGGACAGGCCTGGTGTAGGGTAATAACCATCGTCCATACCATGGACCTGATGGACGGTGCATAGTTCTGCGGTGGAAATGGACTATTGGTGGTGTCCTCTACAACCGAGTATAATTATTAAAAATGGCATCCTTCATGGCGTCCTTTGTAATGATCCTGGTGACGCTATTGTGTGAAAGCATTGAAGAGCAACTCACGAGTATAGCAATGTATATTATTGTAGTTCTAAGTAAAATAGTTAAAATATATTTGAAGGTGAAAAATTTTTACAAAAATGTAAATAATTAGTAGGCGGTAATCGATCTCGAAAATACCGAAGTACATTGTGCAACGTATTAAGCATGAATGATCAAATTTAAACTATGTTCCGCGAGAAATTGATACGGCATAGATGGCACTACTAGTCGTCCTTTCCGCGGCTCCCCTCAGTTCTTTCCACTCCCGGCCACCAGTGTACTTTATGCACCGCCCTTCAGGTCCATGACCTGGGTACCCGAGTACCCGGTTGCCTACACAAGGGTTAATGTAGCGGTAGAAACACCCTAGCTCAGATGCATTACTCACACACGTGCTCGTACCCCACTATCGGTCGCCATCTGTAACCAAAGTTCTGATCCAACTGGTGAATCGACCGAACTGCCACGAAGTCCTGCGTACTCATTGGCTCATGTTAAAGTAGCGTTTCCAGGAAAACACCGGCACGAGAGCCCAGCACCAGTTTTTATTTTTACTAAAATCATTATTTTTATCATCAGTTTCCTTTAACTCCAAGTCAATGATCAACGAATGAATACGCCAAACAGTGGGCACTTATGCTTACGTTATATTTTACAGGCTAACGTGGGCACTGAAAGACGTTTGATTTTTGTGTTTCACTTGCTCACCTCCATGGCCCAATTGTTGATGTTCACATACAGTTGCGACGGTTTAATACGCGAAAGCTTGAATGTCGCTACGGCGGCGTATGTAAGTCCATGGATATACCTGCCGATGAACAAATATGGAAAAACAATGAGGAACGACTTGATACTTGTTATTATGAGATCCAGATCACCTTGTTGCCTAACGGGTCGAGGATTCTTCGTTGTATCATTGGAGACCTATACCAGTGTAATTAATATCATAACTTTTTACTTACGGCTAACTAATTACCAATAATATACTGGTTACTGTTGAGCCACTCGAGTGTAAAATTAAAGTTGACTACAGTAGAGATTCGATAGGACGCTGCTAGGAATGCCTTTCGCACACACGCAATATTTACCGCATGCGCGCGCACCCTACTCTGTCGCCTAGTAAGTTGACGAACGGGTGGGCCAGTGCTGCCAGATTTTTTATAAAATTCTCGCAAACATGATTGTCTTAAATCGCCAAAAATCACTCTAGTGCTCTTAAAAAAAACCCTGAAGGTGCTGTGAACATAGGATTTGTACATGAAAGTATTAGTTATTTTAGTATGACACATTAAAAAAATAGACATATATAATGAATTATACATATAAAAATATTTATAATATATGACCCATGCAGAAGTCAAAGTGAGTAACTACAAGTTGTGAAATTTTCAAATTACAGTATCAAACCATTTGGTTGATGCTCGACTTTTTATATTTTAAATAAATTTCTACTTATTGATTTGTGGAGTTGATCACTTTGGCAAATGTACAGCTAATATACAAATTTGAATTTACTCGATTTACGACTTGCGGTTTTTTCAAAGAATTCATCGCAATTTTAATACAAAAGTCGTTGAAAATGATGAAGGTAGTCGTAAATGCTTGCGATAATATTACGAGTACTTCTCTGACAGGGCACAGCTTGCATCCAAAAGCTTCAACAGTCACCATAATGCCTGACCGTGAAAGTCTCAAGTCTCTTATTATTATGTACAGTACTTACAAGGAAACATATCGAACCCGCACCCGCCGAATTTTATGAAACTTATATGGGAGATAGTTCTCTAAAAATATTTGGCATGTATTTTTCTTACTCGCTCATCGTCTATGTTAAGGGAGTGATAACAGCATCAAAGTTGTGGGATGAAAATATATTAGAAAAAGTTCTTTTTTTTAAATTATGAGTTTTCGAATGGGACATTTAATCACGTAAGAAAATTAAACCAAAAATTCAAATTTTTTTAATATTTCATTTAAAAAAAGAATTTTTTTTTTAAATTCTTATTTCCAAAATATTCCAAAACCTGTATTTTCATCCCTCAACTTTGGGAGCTGTTATCATCCCCTTAACATGAACGATGGCCGACAAGAAAATACTTATAAATCTTTTTTTAAGAACCATCTCCCATATAGGTTTCACTAAAATCGGCGTGTGCGAGTTCGGTATGTTCCCTTGTTACTTTAAATAATATGGGGAATCGTGGAATAATCTAAAAAGATGGAGATTGGGTGTAACACTTGCTTAAAAGTAATCGTAAAAGATGAATTTTAAAAAGTAGTACGTGGAATAATGTTTTCACAACTATAAAGAAATCTTGAATACAAATAGCAAAATTTCTATTGAATGTTGGTAAAAATTTGTTGCAAAGCTTGTGACAGTAGTATCTTACGAAACTATCATGATCAATTCGATTCGATCCGCCTACTAATGATGCAAGGACTTGGCGTTTACAATCTGAAAAATCAAGCGTTAAAAGATTAAGTTTGATCACTTGTACCTGTTTGCTTTTAATAAATGAACTTGTCCTTTCTATGTCGACAATCGTAAAAATTATATCGTTAATACAAATAGTTTGTCTTTTACAGGTTTTAAGTACAGCAGTGTCATACTTTACACTGCTACAGGAAACACATGATGTATAATTCTACTACATCAGAGAAGGACACTTATGTAGTTCTATTATATCAAGAGATTTGAAAACATGTCAGCATAAGTGTAATGTCACACGGTCTGCGGTGCGTATGAAAACCAGATTTTCCTTAAGCTTTACCTAAAATTATTTCACAACACTGTTATATTTCAGAGATCTTTAATGTGTTACAAAACACATTTTCTTAAAAACGTCTGTTGATACTTACAACTACTTCCTTAACAGTTAAGAACTGACCCATTTCCAATGATGTAATGTATGCATTCTGCCAGTGGTATCTGTACGTTATCTAACAAAGTGACAAATGTTATTAAATATTGGTACCTAAACAGATAACACACCTTTTTCAGACATGCAAAAGTGTCGATTTGTGTCAGGTCTTTCAGTGGAATTCTATGTAGCCTTACATTTCTCGGAAAATATTATATGTCATGTTAACGCGTATGCATCTGTTTGTGTACTTAATTTAATTATTTATCATATATAAGACAGGAAAAAACCATTAGGTCGCAGATGTTTATGCAAATATAGACATTCATGGAATAATTTACAGAAGCTGAAATAAAACAGAAATTTTCTTGCTTTGTTAAGGGTTCTATCAGGTTTAAAATGAAATGATCTCATTAAACTGCAATAAGGTTATAACAAATAATTTTTTTACAAGTACATGTTATAATGAATTTTTGGCTATTACATATGCCGTAACTCAAAGCGTCACAACTGATTGCTCACAAGCAGCAGCGGCTCCAACTTCCCCTCACCGGTTACCCCCACTATAGTCGTCAGACTTACTCGCTCGAGTCATGGCGGGAAGACTATTGGTGGGGACAGTCGAGTGAGTCATTCTGTGGACTATAGTGGGGGTAAGCAATCAGTTGCGCAGTTCTGCCGTAAATGTATGAAATCTGAACTCTACTGATCACTATTCTATTATTCGAATATTTCCGTTACTCACTGTAAGTATTTACTGCGTGACTATCCGAGGCGAATAAATATTCCTTCCCCTTCCCTTATCACTATTTTTCTCACATGCGTTCGACCATCCGCAAGGTCTGCTTCTTGTTAGCTATTCTTAAAGTATAGTGAAAATGAGATCCCCCAGGTACAACCTCCTCCTCAGAATTATAATAACAAAATTAGAAAAATATTACTGTGTAAAAATGTGTAAGGATTTAGAGATCCATTCACTCAACTACACCAATAACATTCAAAATTTCCAATCAACTGAATTGCGGACAGTACAAAGACTAATATTCACAATAACTTATTGTGGGTAACAATGTATTAAAAAATATTATTACCTTTATTTTCAATATTCACTTCTAAGAATTTTCGTTGAATAATCCTTTCTCTCGAGTATGCACAATATCCTGCATTCCTCTTCTTCACATTACCCCATTAGTGACAAACAGCTCCCCAATCAACAACTAAACACTACGATCGTACGTTTGGTTAAATCTACATTGTCTACATACATCGTTACCAAGAACATTACTCGTGTCTATTCGAGGTGACAAGAGTTAGCACCATAAAAAAGCATCAACTCTGAATATTCAAGAATTTTGGTCTCCAATATCAAGGAGAGCTTTTCTTTGATATCCTGTACCATTTCACCAACTCACTATACACACCTGTTCCAACCGCAATACGCAACTATGGTGTGATAATTGCACATTTAAGTACTCTCTTGGTACAATAACAAGTTAACTACTATAATGTGACCATTTAATAGGTATACTTAGCGTGGTCTAGAACAGAATTTAAAGAACCTACTTTGTGTTTAGTGATAACACTTCTGACATATAGTATGCAGGGTGTTCGCGATAATATGTATCATCGTTTTTTGCGTAAACGATAAACATTAGAAAAAAACCGAAAAGGAGGAAGTTGATGTATATTTTACTAGTAATATGATAGCGTATCTAAAGTTTTTGTATTTTTAATATTTTTCTAGAAACAAAAACGAACTTAATTTTTGTAAATGGAATGCGACATATTTTTTTACATCATATGAAAGCGAGCATTCAGACGAGTTCAACCATGTAGTATACTATGGTCTTCAGGGTCATACAAGGGCAGAAATAAAAGAAACAGAATTTAACATTTCGTAATGCATTCTTGCTAATGGAAGTCACATTGAACACGAGATGTAGTCTTATAAATAAATACAATATTACGAAATGTTAAATTCTGTTTCTTTTATTTCTGCCCTTGTATGACCCTGAAGACCAGAGTATACTACATGGTTGAACTCGTCTGAATGCCCGCTTTCATATGATGTAAAAAAATATGTAGCATTCCATTTACAAAAATTAAATTCTCCTTTGTTTCTAGAAAAATATTAAAAATACAAAAACTTTAGATACGCTGTCATATTACTAGTAAAATATACAACAACTTCCTCCTTCTCGGTTTTTTTCTAATGTTTACCGTTTACGAAAAAAACGATGGTACAAATTATCGCGAAAACCCTGTATAAACATTATTGTCACCCTCTCTTTCGATCTCCAATGTGCATTTAGTATATAGACAGAAGGAACATTCCAAATTCATTTAATAAAATAACTAATTATAAGCGGACAGAGAATCCCAATAGCGAGAGTGACGATCTTTATGTTCTTCCAACGGCAGTTCACCCTCGACTGTCATAACGTACATAAGAAAGAAAACTGTTTCGCAGCAATACCACACAACTGTCTCTTTGTCCTGATCGAAAACTAAGTAGATACTTCATAAAGGAAAATACCGTTCTTGCAAACCAATCATAGACATGTATTACTGCAACTTATCGAAAGTTTCATATTGTTCCTTGAATCCATACATAACTCATCGAACCTACACATACTTTTTATTTTACGAAATAGCGATTCCGGTTGATCATACACGATACTTCTATTATCGATCTTCCTACATATTGTTCAAATAACAGGGCGAAAGCCAACGATCAAAAGCCATCAGATCAAAGACCAGCAAGAATTGGAGATTTCTGACAGAGATCGATGACAAATTTTTTTACAGGAATGCTATATCGATACCCTTACTTGAACAAGAGTCAGTATTATCAATAAGTCCGTCTTCACGAAGAAACGTATTCCTAGTCCACGTGTGATATTGTTGAGGAACTTTCCCACGTCGAGGCACATCTCATCATTAGTCAGTGTGTTGATTTGTTGAAATTTTGTGATCGTTTAGCTGCCAGGATGTTCTAGTTATTCTAACGGCTACATCGACCCTAGTGTTTCTGATTTATAATAGTGATCGGCAATTTTTTTACAAATTACTATCTTTTCAACCCTTAGAACGTGTATTTTTCAAACATACAATCATACTTATTTTTATACCGATTGTTATTCTTTCATTTTGATTCGTTCATTATTTGAGAAAGATTCTTCACATTTAATGTGTCGTCGGTATGCTAGAAAAATAAGACATTTCAAAAATCGTTTATATTAAGATATCTGCAAAAAATTCTACAAAAATTCTAAAAGTGAACTGTTTTTATATGAAAGATAAAAATATACATTTATCATAAAATGATTCCATTTACCAAGAGCACTGTCACAATTCAAAGTAGGGCTGTTTTAACCCTTTCCTAAACACATAAACATATTATTAGAAACCCTCAAAGCGCAAAGACTATTATTTATGTTGTAAAAGTACGAAATTTATCGACTATTAAATGGCTAAGTAATTAATCATTTTCTTTCACTACAAATTGCAAACCGATTTCTTGAAAAATTTATATTTCTTAGTTGTATGAATCTTCTAGCAAACCCACGATACAAGTAATATTCATTATAGTCATATCGTTTCTTTCGTGCAGCATTTTTCGCCAGATAGTCACGTAAATCCAAAGACGAAGGGCACTAATAATTCTAGAATTTAATGAGAAATTATTGAGTCTACATAACTTGATCTGTTCGATGGAGATTGCTATAAATAAATCAAAAAACTGTATTAACACTTCAAGTGCATCGGAGAGATAAAAGACCCCAGTCCCAAGTTTGACCTGAACCTCGATTTCTGAAAACATTCTAACTTAAACCCCTTTTTTATTTGATTTTTTCTCTAATCTCGACTTTTCTGCTTGAAAGTACAAACACTAAATCTCAAACAATCCATCTACAACTTTTTTCGAAAAGTCCATAGTTTAGGAGATATTCCGAGTTTTAAAGCACTTAGGGTCACTTGTCCCCCATCTAAAAACTTTTAGGATGTGTGCACTCGAAGTGTTGAACGACTTGAATCGCGATTTATCCATCTGTCCTCTCAAAGCTGCTCTAGTCACAGTCTTAGTTCACTATTCTTCTCAACTATTTACATTGACATATCGCTCCGAGACACGAATTCTACGTTTAATCGTTCGCATGTCGAGTCCATAACGTGACACACCTGTCGGAATCAACGACCACCGAGGGTGAGCCAGTAGAAATTTCAGGATCGTGCATAAATTATAGGCCCAGTGCATAGTTCTCGAAGCGAGTAGTAACAGTTGTATCGGCATATATACTATTCATCCCTTTGTAATTGCACTTGAGCGACCTCCTAATGACACATGATGGCCCTAGATACCAGTAGGTTGGGATCTGCAGGTGTTTCGTCAGCGATTCGAGAGAGAGGAGATAAAGCGGGTACGCAAATGGAACAGAACAAAAGTGATTGAACGATAGTGTACCTATCCACTCGGATGTGTCCTGCAGTTTGACACAGAGGTGGCCATAATAATCATCCCGCTGTGTACACTTAGTGCGTTGACATTTTGTCTCCTGACTCGTAAAAATCGGTCTCGTGTCTGCAGAGAATAGTCAGTCACACGGTGTTGTTAAGTATGTTGGAAAAGAGCGACGATTTTTCTTTAAGCTTTACGATTCCGATCATAAAGATGATCGGCTTCTGGATAGCGCCCAACCGTCGTCTACAAATACTCACTAATTGCAACTTGATTTTCTCGTGCACACAAGTCTCGTTTCTCTTCTATGGTACAATGTACGA